CCACTATGCTAAGGTGACTGGTTATCCTGATCATGACTACATTGCCTCTCCACATAGTTATTTATCTGCAACAATTATACTACATTGCTCAATGTGTGTTTAAATGTACATAAGTGGTACTGTACCACACATATCATTTTTGCATATAATTTTTTCACTTAACCATTGTTTTTTGAGATTTACCCATAGTGATATGAGTGTATTTAATTTTAAATTTCTTTATATTGCTTCATTAGGAATAAACCATAGTTTATTGGTTTACCTTGTATATGGACAATTAATATATTTACACTTTAAAAAAGATGTAATAAACATCTTTTCTCATGTCTCCCCACCACCAGTTACAAGAGTTTCTCCAGGGGAGACACTCAGACGCAGATATCTCATCCACAAGTCTCCAAGTTCTTCCTGAAGGGTTCTCCAAAGTTGTGACACCAACTTACTGTCTCCAGCATGTTAAAGCAGTCCTCATTATCCACACCCTTGTCAATACCTGGTATGAACAGAATGTATTCATTTTTGCCAACATGAAGGCTGTGAAGTGTTAACTAACTGTGACACTTCTAGAAGTATCATCATGGTCACCACAACAATACCAAGTCTTATTAAAATAACGAAACAAAAGATGTTAAAAAAAAAACACAGCTTGCAATAAATTTTACTTTTCTTCAAGAAATGTCTTACAAGGCTAAAGCTGGCTCATGAACCCATACACCAGGCCATAAAAGAGGACTGGGGACACGGGTCCCAACTCCATATTTATTTTCTTGTGTTCATTATCCAATGTTACTTAAAAAGCAAACTGCCCAATATTCCAGCCAAAGCAAATACTCTGGATTTTGCCAGGCAAAATGCCTGTGGAGAAATGAGTCAATTCATACAAAATTCAAAACTGTCTTTGGTTAGTGACATTTTCATGAAAATCTGTGGGTGGGTAAAAGTTTTGCAAAATTCCTTTTTGCTATTGGATAAAATTCATCCAGGAAAAATAAGCAAAATTTAAGTGGCAACCCACATTCCCCCTAATTCCCTTATTAACACTCCCTAACCTCCAAACACAACTGCTTTCAATTGTGCACGGAGGCAGTGTTGGCATCTCTGGTCCTTCCTGGTAAGACAACCCGGCTCTTCTGCTCACTTTGCCCTGATCAAGACAGGCCTTCTCATGAGAGGGACTACAGACAGAACGTGCCTGATCTCACTCGGAACACACCTTCCTGGAACACCATCCAGGCACTGCACACCCTTCCACTGACTGGCAGAAAGACCAAGGGTAAAAACATTCTTAGTGTGCACTCTGCTGGAACCATTACCATGGATACTGTTAGGGAAGCCCAGTGTCTTTCTATGGTTTTGGGTTACACTCTAGGTTGTCCTTCTGGGAACATGAAACAAGGGTTTGAAAAAGAGACAAACTCAGACTTCATGAGGTGCTCTGACTTGAGAGTCTGGAACCTTACCGTCTCTGAAAAACTTACTATAATTCTACATCATTACACCTAGAAATGCTCAACTGATCTGGTAATTCCAAGATGTACCAAGGCTGGGCCTGATCTAATGCCAGAAAGGCTGAAACACAATGATTTGCCACCTGGAAATTACCTTCGTTAATAGTTAGCTATGAGCGCACTGGGGTATTTTTTCAGTGGAATATTGTTGCATCCCAGGCTCTGATTCAGCTGAGCTCTGCCTCCTTGCTTGCTGAGGCACTTCAGTTCTCAAGGCCTGTGCCCCTGGCTGGGACTGTCTCTGGCAATCGAGACCAGGCCTGGAGAGAGAGCAGCTGGTCAGGATTTCAACAGAAGCAGTAAGAATGAGATCTTCAGAAGGGTGGAGTTGTTTGGGTGGGAAAAGGAACAGAATCCATTCTCTTCCTCCAGTAATTGAAACAGTATGCCCCCCTCCTACCCTGGTTCTGCCACCTAAAATCCTACATGATCTGAATCTCAGGGGTCTGGCTAAGGCTAAAGAGTCATAATCAGAGATTGTGAGAACATGTTTTCCTGTACAGAAAAGAGAAAGGGAGTTTGGCATGAGGTGAGGATGCCAGTGGTAGGCTCTTACTGTAAGCAAACTGTCACGGAGAACTCTTGTCATACGCCCACTTTTTTTACACATGACTTCCAGAAGCTCTTTGTGCTGCTGCTTGTAGTCATAGTCACCAAACATAATGGGATCACCATCTCCCTCTTGGGTCAATCAGCTAACTGAGCAAAAGCGATGACCAATTCTGTTATATGCAGAAAATTAATGGTTCAACACAGGTAAAACAAAAACGGATGGAGTTTTATTATTTCAACTGCTCCTGGCCTCTGCATGTGGCACAGACACAAAAACCTAAAGATCATTTCTTCAAAAGAAGAGTGTGGTCACTTTCCTTGGAAAAGATCTTGAACTCTGAACCAACTGCCATCACATTTTGTGGTGACAGGAGATGAAACACTCAGTTTTAATAGTTTTTTGCATCTAGGTCCCAATAGTATAAAGATTAATTGTTGAAAAGGGAAGAAAAGTATGTCTGGCTTTTTTTCCCAGGTACACATTCACTTTAAGCACAATATCTTCTATCCATAGACTATACCTAGAGACAACTGCTACACTTTCACAGCCAAATCCACCGCTGCCAGTTGACTACAACCCTACAAATCAAACAGATGACATGCAGCAACATAACATATTTCAGAAGGCATAATGCCCATGATAGTATGTTCTATATGGAACTGGATGTCCTCCTTCTAAAAATAGATAGTCCCAATGCTACAACTGCAGCATTAATCAACTCCTAAGAAACCCTGTTTTGTATCAATATATTTTCACTGGAAATAATTGCTTTGTAGTTCTACATTTGATAGCTATTAAATTAGCTATTTGAATCTTGCAAAGAGTCTACCCAGAAGTGTGTGGGGAGTGGGCAGCTTAGGGGAGAGAAATCACCTCCCATATCCATCCTGAATAATACCAATAAAAAAAAAAAACTAGGCAGAGGCCTGCAAACATTCACCTCTCATCTTAATCTGTCACTCAAATATTTCTATTTTTAATATTCATCATGTACTTTAGAAAAAGCCAACTTTATAAAGTTATGTGTCTTTGCAAAGTCTGGGAACAGTGGGAAAATGGGGAAATCCTATTGCACAAAAATTAATTTTGCAACGCAAAAAAAATTTTTTTTGGATAATTCAAGCCTTTATGTTTATTTCAGTAAAGCCAAATCCAGTAAACTATTTTCAGCCAGGATTAGTCAGAACTGAAAGGTTGGACTGTTTTCCTTCAGAGACTGAATGTCTTTCCTGCCTGCCATAGACTGGTGTGTTCCAAACACAGTAAATGGAACTGCCTTCAATTGCTTGTCTCTTTCTGACATTTTTAATGCAGAACCCTAGTGACAGAGTAAGGTTTTGCTGCCTGCAATGTAATTATTCTTTTCACTCCTAGAACATGGCATTCTCACAACATACCAGCTTCAGGTTTTCCTTAAGAAAAATCACAACATGGGGCATAATGTAATGAGAAGAAATGCAATTTCATTCCACCAGAGATTCTTCAAACTGTTTCAAAAATATCTACTGGACAGTGAAAAGGTGCTTCGAATGCCTGCATTACAGCTGTCACCTGTCTGGTTTGCTTTTGTACAAATCAGATACTTTGGCCAATTTATAATCAAACATAAATGCAGTCCAGATTCTTTATCATCATGGCATACTATAAAGGAAAAAAAAAAAAAAAGAACTCTGGCTGGGGGGCCCACAGTCCAAGTCAGTTCCTTTCCACACTGATTTAGTTATGTCACATAGGCAGGGTCTTCAAAAAGTTCATGGAAAATGTGTATTATGAAAAAAACTATGCATTCCAAAATTGCTTTGTACCAAAATATACTTATCTTTGAGTTCCACCTTCCCACAAACTTCTTGAAGAACCCTGTCTTTAGCAACATGCAGAATATGCAATATCCAGAGAGTACATAGAATTTTCAGATTTTCACTGTAAAAGAAATATTTCTGTCCATCTAAACTAATTTGAAACATATGCTCTTCTTTTTTCCAAGAGTTAAGTGAGCTGTCTGAGATTGTGCAAAGCCATCCTGGGGTCCCAGGGGTGATGTCCTGCTTATAAACCCTGAGGGTTTCTGTGAGGTGTGAAATTGTTGTGAAATCATTTAAGAATCATATTATTCAAAAATAGCACATTTTGCCAAGAAACAGAGAGCGTTCCAGGCCTGGTGCTGTGAAAGTGGGAGGCAGGGGAGAAAGAGACATCAGGCCCACTTCCTTCAACACCAAAAGCACATTCCCTTCTCAGCTCTTTTTCCTTAGACCTTTCCACGAAAGTGTCTCTCAAAACGAGGTGAGATCCTGTGAGGCGCAGCCCCCATAGCATGCCCAGGCTGTTTTCACACTGGAGGCACATCGTTATCCAGTCTCACCACTCTGGAAGGTATAGCGTGCAAGCATGCGGGTGTGTACAGCCACACTCTTACTAGCCAAGTTGCTAAGTGGTGACTTCCTTTCCAAATATCAGAACCACCCCCCCCCACACACACAAACATCCCCAAGTCTCACTCAGTTATTGGAGAGGAGGGGAAAATCCCTAAATATTTGTCTTGGGACAGAGCTGAAGCTTGCTGGAGTGTGGTGTAGATTTCTCTCTTTCGGCCATCCTTGCAGATTAAGGAAACCCCATGTTTGTGCCTGGCCAGGATCCTCCAGGATTTTGGACAATGTGGCAGACTGACCAGTGCTGCAGGGTCGATCATGTACCTACCCAGAACAGAATCGAGAAAGGCAGAGAGATCACAGCCACTAATGATTAAAGCCCCCCCGCCACTCCTTCACGCTGAACAGAAGTCCACTCTCATGGGTCCCTGGACCTGCACACATCCACATGGCTATGAGAGAAGACCGCGCACAGCCTTGACCCGAGAACCACATAAGGAGAAACATACGCATGGAAGAGCCATCGAGGCCTTCAGGCCAGGTCACCCGTGGGCTTCAGAAACTCACCGTACACTTGTTGGGCTTCTCCCCGGAGTGGACTCTCATGTGGATCAGCAGTTTGTAGCGGGCGTTGAAGGGCTTGTACCGACGAGGACAACCAGCCCAGAAGCAGGTGAAGTCCTCGCCTTTGCGCTGGTCTATGTGGACCTTCTCGATGTGCCGCACCAGCTCCTCCTGCTGGTCATACAAGGCGCTGCAGTCTATCCAGCGACAGCAGTGCTTGCCTCCTAGGTCGTCCATCTCCCCATCCTCGTCCAGTGCGGTCTGGGGCAGGGCCAGTGGCTGGGCGTGGCCCAGGAGCTCTGGGTGGTGCAGGTGCGGGTGGGCGTGGTAGGGGGGCGGAGGTCCCTGGGGCTGTGGCAGAGGAGGCAGGTCAAGGGCGCTGCCCGGAAACTCTTCCAGGCGCTCGGTCTTGAGCAGGCCGGCTGGCTGGCCATCAGGGCCTGGCAGGCGGTTCTGCACCACCATGTTGTTGACCTGCCCGGGCTGCAGGCCGCCATGCTCCAGCTGCTGCATGCGCTCGTACTCCAGGGCGCAGTCCTCGCCATAGGCTGGCAGTGGCAGGCTGCCGCTGGCCACCAGCACGCTCTTCTGGCCACTGGGCACCGGGCACGGCTGCGGGATGCAACTGCCACGTACCCCCAGGAAGTGCCCATAGACTTCAGGCTGTGGAGACACGTTGGCCGGGGAAGCTCTAGACCCATTGATGTAGGCCACCAAGGACGTGGGCGAGGTGCGGATGATGGTGTTGAAGTCTATCCCGATGCCGTCGGACAACGGGGACAAGGACAGTGCTCTCTTCTTGGAGCGAGCAGAGTGGGACCTGGTGGCTGAGTGCCGGGGACTAGAGTAAGGAGAGTGGCTATTTTCCATGCCGAAAAGATAGGGTGGCAATGAGTTAGAGACACTACTGCTGGACATGGATGTCCCGGGTGGAAGGTTAAGGAGGTCGCCTAGATCAACCCCATTCTGAGAGCCGTGGCTGGAGGAAAGGGAAGGGAGAGTCCTGTAGCCTTGCGACCACTCTTGCTTCACACTCAAGGCCGACTGACTCTCCGACAGACTCAAAGTTGTAGATGCCAGAGACTCACGTGAAATAAGGGACCTGGAACAGCAGCCAGAAGGGAAGGAAAAAAATAAATATTTTAGCAGGATATGCATTGCTTAAGAGCTAAAAGAACACTGCATTGACAATCCCTTAAGTATTTCTCCTAATTACATTCTTTGCTAAACACACATTCTTGGGCTAAGATAAAATCCGGGGCTTTTAGTTCCAGGTAAATAATATTTTACTGAGAAGAACAATAAAAGCTAATGCTCTCCAAAATAATAAAATGAAAGATGTATTGTTATAAATAATCTCAATACTTGAATGACAATAAATGGTCCACACTTTATTTTTAAGCACGTTTTTTCATGTGGGGAAAAGTTACAGACCTGGGAAAAATTATTGATCCCTGTCATGGAAAACCAAATACGCAAGTATTTTTTAAGTACCTACTGTGTGCTATGACAGGCATTGCAGGAAATATGAAGGTCCTTCAAAAACTTTGTGGAAAATGGAATTTAAAAATCCATGTATTTTTTGACTCAGAAAAGTTTTCAAATCTAGGCATAGTATTATCATAATATGAATATCTATGAACTTTCTAAAAATTTATTTACTTATTTTATTTATTTGAAAGGCAGAGAGAGAAAGAGAAACAAAGAGATGTCCCATCTGTTAGTTCACTCCCCAGAATCCCTGCAATAACCTGCACTGGACCAGCTGAAGCCAGGTGTCAGAAACTCCCATGGCAATGGTAAGGACCCAGCTACCTCAGCCATCACCTCTTCCCTCCCAGGGTGCGCATTAGCAGAAAGCAGATGAGTCAGGACTCAAACCCAGGCACTCCAATAGGGGATGTGGGCATCCCAAGCCATATCTCAATGCCCACATCAAATACCCAACCCTCCATGACCTTTTTGAAAACACATGGTACAAGTCTAAAATGGGAACCCAGGCTTAAAGTCCAATCCATCTGGGGAAATAACATAGAAATCCATGCTTTGGGAGCAGGGGGTGGAGGCAGCACTGTGGAACAGCGGGTAAAGCTGCTGTCTGTGATAATGCTGGCATCCCATATGGGCACTAGTTCGAAACCTGGCTGCTCCACTTCCAATTCAGCTCCCTGCTAATGGCCTGGGAAAGCAGCGGAGGATGGTGCAAGTGCTCCCACCCATGTGGGAGACCTGCAAGAAACTCCTGGCTTTGGCCTGCTGAGGCCATCTGAGGAGTCAACCAGCAAATGGAAGACCATTCTCTCTCTGTCTCTCCCTCCCTCTCTCTCTCTGTAACTCTGACTTTCAAATAAATAAACTCCCACATTTACAGCAGCTCAATTAACAACAGCTAAGATGTGGAATTAACCCAAACGTCCATCAGCAAATGACTGGATAAAGAAATGGTGGTACATACACACAACAGAGTACTACTCAGCCATTAAAGAAGAATGAAATCCTTTGTTTCACAACAGAATGGATCCAACTGGATGCCATTATACTTGGTGTAATAAGCCAGTCCCAAAAAGACAAATATCATATGTTTTCCCTGTTTTATGGTAACTAATATAAGGAGTACATAAAATGCAATGTATATCAGTGAAACTAACATCTTCAGATCTGATTTTTTTTATAGTCTTTGTCTATACTCCTGAAAAAAATAGTGTTTTTTTCTACTTAGTACTTGTTGAATTCTTTATTTAGTAGAAGGCTAAGCTTGTGATTATAAAGTAAACTGAAGTATGTCATTGCAAAAATTGAAAGAAAAATAAAAAAGGAAGGAGGGACGGTAGGGTGGGAAGTATCATTGTGTCCTTAAAACTGTGTATATGAAATGCATGAAATCTGTTCCCTTTACATAAATAAAGAAGGTTTTTAAAAAAAATCTGTTCTGGTTTCAAAAATAAAGAAATCCTCAAAGTCAAAGAGTAATCCCGGGGATAATTTCATAATTGTGGAATAATAATTTCACTAACATTAAGGGATTATGAAGATTATTTTTTAAAAGATAGCACCTCAGTCTGTCAGCACGTTAGTCACAACATCACATCATCTCATGGAATAAAATATATATATATATAAAGTGCAGCTTTAACAGGAGTCACTGTGCACTTACTCCTCATGTAGGATCTCTGTCCTTAATGTGCTGTACATTGTGATTTAATGCTATAACTAGTACTCAAACAGTATTTTTCCCTTTGTGTTTCTATGTGGGTGCAAACTGTTGAAATCTTCACTTAATATATGCAAAACTGATCTTCTGTATATAAAGAGAATTGAAAATAAATCTTGATGTGAATGGAAGGGGAGAGGGAGTGGGAAAGGGGAGGGTTGCGGGTGGGAGGGAAGTTATGGGGGGGGAGCCATAAAAAATAAAATAAATAAAAAAGTGCAGCTTTACTATGTAAGGGAGTAACAAACTGAAATCAAATCCTATTTGCAATTATGCATGGGGACCATGGGGACTTTAATCACATGTGATAGTCCTGGGTATCCTGTGAACTCTTATCCTTAAACCACAGCAGCTTTGGGTCAAGAGCAGATTATTCACTCTCAGGGGTTCATTCTTACAACAATTCCTTTACTACTGTTACCCTTTATAAAACATGCCCTATGTGTTGCAATATGTTATCTGCATATCAATACAGTTCATGATGTAGCTCTGGTGACTTGAAAGGTCACTCTGCTTTACTATGACATTGTTGCCTTAAAAATAAGAGAAAAGCTATGTTCCTTGGAGGGAAAATGTGTCACAAAGAGGCTGGAAATATCTACCTATGAATATGCACTGTATTCCTGGACTTGGACATGGTGTGCAGCAGAAAAGCCTGGCTTATTTATCTGTCCCTGCACTGGCTTTCTACAGACATTGTTTTTTTTTTTTCTGACAAAAATTAATCGCAATAAAGTTACATAAAATGTGCATCTCCCCAAAATGAACACATTTACTATCTGCAGCTGGAAAACATCAAGCTGTTGCAAAGGAACTGAGGAAAAGAGAAGCATTTTCATTGCACCTGTTCAACTTATTCCATTTCACAACACGGAAGCCAGGAACACAGTTTCCTACAAGTATGAGCCACTAGCAGGAAAACATCTTTGCTCCAAAATACCCATCTAAGATGATAACACCATGATGGACACAATGTCACCATCGAGTGAAGAAATGTTTACCAATGATAAACACAGCAGGAACTTACGTCCAGTGGCCCTTCACATAGATTTTTTTTTTCCTGGTCCACATCCTTACATTTAGGCTGAAGTCCTTTTGCCTCAAAGTGGTTTCTGAACCATCTGCTTTCTTAGTTCCCAGTGGACACTTTTCAATTATTTTCCTGGCACACTTGCAGCATGTCACACTCTTCCCGCAAGCCTGGCTCAAGACTCCTGGTGATTGGATGTCAGGGGTCTTTCGGTCCCTTCCCCAGTGACATACAGGAATTGCTTGTGGACTCGAGCTCAATCAGTGCTCCTATCACAGACCAGGCAGTGTGACCTGCTTTCCGCTGTGAGGTTGAGAAGATTCCGAGTCCATAAAGAACCAGAGCTTTCCTCAGCCACGTGGCGGAGGGAGTGCTCATTCTCAGGGGGTGCATCTGCCTGTCGCCGCCACACCGGAACACTGCAGATGTGTAAGCAGTGACTAACAGAACATGTATGCTATCCACCTGCATAAACTGTGCTTATCAAATTCTCTTGCTTTGTGTTAGGGCAGCCCACGATGAGACATGTTCACCTGTCCCATTGTTGAGAGACCATCCTCATTTCTCTCAAATTACACCTATCTGCGGTTCAGCTTCAGTCACAGCACAATCCGTGCGGGCACATGCCTTAACTCCTTGCACATCTCAGTTTTCTGAGATAGTCATCATATGCTTTTCAGAAAGTAAATTCTATATTGTAATCATTAAAGCAATAATACCGAGAACACTCTCTTCTACCTTGAACATCTATTAAGAACAAAACTACCAAAGAAAGACCTTTGCTTAGCAGCCAGTCTTCCTCCTTTGCAATTACCCAGACCTTTCCAGCTTTTGAAGTTCTAATCCTCAAGATCTCTTCCCAGTACACTAGCTCTCAAACAGTCCTCTTGCCAAAGAACTTAGGTAGTATGTTCATTTTAGACATCTAGGGGTGTAATCTTCCTCAACAAAATTCACTCTTTTCAACAGAATAGCTCATTTTTATCTCCCAGTATGGGCTGGAGTGTGTTAGATACTAAATACTCAAAAGTATTAAGAGGGGCTAGTGCTGTGGCGTAGCAGGTAAAGCCACCACCTGCAAAACCGACATCCCATGTGGGCAGAGTTCGAGTTACAGCTGTTCCACTTCTGATCCAGCTCCCTGCTAATGTACCTGGGAAAGCAGCAGAAGATGAACCAAGTGCTTGGGTCTCTGCACCCTCATGGAGACCCAGAAGAAGCTCCTGGCTCCTGGCTTCAGATCAGCCTAGCTCTGGCCTCTGCAGCCATTTGGGGAGTGAACCTATGGATGAAAAATCTCTCTTTCTCTCTCTCACTGTGCCTTTCAAATAAATAAACCTTTTAAAAATCATTAACAAAATTAATAATCAATAGAACAAATCAATCACTATTTAAAGTTTACAAATAATTTCCCCACATGAAGAGATTTTAAAGTGTTCATGGACAGATACAATTCAAATGTAAGTTTATTTTGGTGCAAAAAAAAATTGAAATCCATGGACAATTTTTTCATAATAGGTGTTTGCCATGAACATTTTGAAGATGCTTCATATATTTTTGCATGAGTTTATAAAGAATAACACTGTTTTATAAAGAATAACACTGAGGTTCTATGAAATTACTCCCAGTGATACTAGAGCTGGAAAAAAAGAAAAAAGGACCACAGTCCTTCGGAAGTTTCAAGGAAGGAGCACATGATACGCGGTGACCTAACACGGATGCTTTGTTGTGTTCTCCACTTGCTGCTTCAGAATGCTCTGCCCGACTGAATGAGCCGTTGAGACAGAGGCTACGCCCGGAACCTATGCTTTCTGTTCTGCAACCTGAAACCCCTGCTGCTACCCACACAGGGCCTATGGGA